AAAGAAACTATCATCAGAGTGAACAGGCAACAACCACCTACAGAATGGGAGAACATTTTTGCAAGCTACCCATCTGACAAAGGTCTAATATCCAGAATCTACAAGGAACTTAAACAAATTTACAAGAAAAAAACAACCCCATCAAAAAGTGGGTGAAGGATATGAACAGACACTTCTCAAAAGAAGACATTTATGCAGCCAACAAACATATGGGAAAAAAAAGCTCATCATCACTGGTCATTAGGGAAATGCAAATCAAAACCACAATGAGATACCATCTCAAGCCAGTTAGAATGGCAATTATTAAAAAGTCAGGGAACAACAGATGTTGGCGAGGCTGTGGAGAAATCGGAATGTTTTTACACTGTTGGTGGGAGTGTAAATTAGTTCAACCATTGTGGAAGACAGTGTGGCAATTCCTCAAAAATCTAGAACCAGAAATACCATTTGATCCAGCAATCCCATTACTGGATAGATACCCAAAGGATTATAAAGCATCCTGCTATAAAGACACATGCACACATATATTTATTGCAGCACTATTTACAATAGCAAAGACTTGGAACCAACCCAAATGCCCATCAATGATAGACTGGATAAAGAAAATGTGGCACATATATACCATGGAATACTATGCAGCCATAAAAAAGAATGAGTTCATGTCCTTTGCAGTGACACGGACGAAGCTGGAATCCATCATTCTCAGCAAACTGAAACAGAAACATAAAACCAAACACTGCATGACCTCTGTCATAAGTGGAAGTTGAACAATGAGAACACATGGACACAGGGAGGGGAACATCACACACTGGGGCCTGTCGGGGGTGTGGGGCAAGCAGACGGAGAGCATTAGGACAAATACCTAATGCATGTGGGGCGTAAAACCTAGATGATGGGTTGATAGGTACAGGAAACCATCATGGCACATGTATACCTATGTAATAAATCTGCACGTGTATCCCAGAACTTAAAGTTTAAAAAAAAAAAACAGAAAATTTCACTCTCCAAGTGGAAGGCCTAAGTGCACCTCTCCTAGTCATTAATTGATTACACAGACTGAAAACATTAACGAGCTTATGGAAATTTTGAAGATACAATAAACTTATTCTAATATTTATTAAGGGATACTGCATCCATAAGTGAGACCACGTGCAATTATCTTGAGCCCTGATCTTAAGGGATTTAAACTAGAAATCAATAAACAGAAAGACACATTTTAAAAAATACACATATTTGTAACTTCAAAAAAAACCCTTCAAGATAAGACTCTTCCCACAAAAAATATACCAAGTTCAAAGTTGACTTGTACCCATCTACCAAACATTCAAGGAATAGATAAAATATTTTGCGTGATCAGAATATAGTTATTATTGCTATGTTTGTTGTCATCTCTTGCCTGCAGAATGAAATATCCCTAATGAAAATACCAGTCACTTGAATTTGTCTCCATTTTAGATTCAGGAAAATTATAATATTAAATAAATGCATGTATGTATATGTATATGCAAATATGTGTGTGCATCACACACCATAGCACTAGAACCTGCACTATGCCTGCTACTGGTTTTCAAAGAAGAAACAAGTTATAGAAATTCTAATAAAAAAAAGTCTAGCTCAGTATACACTTACAACTTTCCTAGTTGCAAACTGGGAAAGATTTTTCAAACATAGAACCTTACAATCTATAAATTAAACCCAAGAATGAAATCTCATGTCTTCACTTCCAGATAAAAAGTGCTACATAGAAATGCTGAGCTTTAGTTGGAATTTTTTTTTTTTTTTTTTTTTTTTTGAGACGGAGTCTCGCTCTGTCGCCCAGGCTGGAGTGCAGTGGCCGGATCTCAGCTCACTGCAAGCTCCGCCTCCCGGGTTCACGCCATTCTCCTGCCTCAGCCTCCCGAGTAGCTAGGACTACAGGTGCCCACCACCTCGCCCGGCTAGTTTTTTGTATTTTTTTTAGTAGAGACGGGGTTTCACCGTGTTAGCCAGGATGGTCTCGATCTCCTGACCTCGTGATCCGCCCGTCTCGGCCTCCCAAAGTGCTGGGATTACAGGCTTGAGCCACCGCGCCCGGCCAAGAAATTATTCTTCACAATAATTGCAGAATTCCCTTCTTCATATAATGGACTTTTACTAACAGAAGGACAAAAATGTTTCCAAAGACACTGGGGTCCTTACATATGCAAATTAATAAAGCAAGTTTATTGTCTTATCAATGAAAGCCTCCTCAAATTCCTCCATGCTTTATCTGTGTTCCCACATCATCACAAATCCACATCTATATGAGATCTTAGAGCTACAGAAAAATGCATGTTCAGAGTACATTTCAGACCAAAGTAGTAGTTACCAGAAACATACTTCCTTGGTTTTGGTCATCTTGGTATGCTATTACTTCCTTCAAAAATCAACGTTTACATTGTCCTTAGGTTTTAAATAAAACAAAGATGTACATATGTTCATAAGTATGTGATAACTGAAATATCAGACATCCAAATGTCATAACTGTTATTATTTTTAAAATTCTAACATAAGTGGCATGTTTTAAAACAAACATGCTGTGTTGGTAAGCTATTAGTTCAGATGCTCATAAGTATATCCTGTTGAATGGCTGTAAATGTGTTTTGGTGCATTGGATGCTGTTTATATGCTTATATTTCTGTAACTAGGAAATAAAAAGAAACCACATCATTAATTATCAGGCCCTCCATGTGACAGTACAACAACCGATAAGCCACTGGCTCAATTAAAGTGTGCAGGGCTTGTACCTGAAGAGTTTCGTTTTTTGATTAAAAAAAAAATCAAAAAAACGAAACTCTTTTCATGTCATGCTAGAGCATGACAGGATTTCTTCACAAATTTGAAGATGTTATGTAAATATTTAATAACTCTGCTGTGACAGGCCATGAGTACTGAGCAGAACTTGACTACAAGATTTAAATAAATACAAGCCTGGGAGTTGCTAAATATTGAACATCATTATGATTGTGGTGTTTCAACAAACAATCATTAAAAGGTAGTGCAAATCCAATCAAAGGAACATTTTTGATAAAGAAACAAAGATCTAGCATGTTTACATTTTGGAAAACAAAAATCAAACATCTCTGTTCAGTTATCCTAAATATTCTCCCTTCAGCTCCACCACCAACAAAAAAAGGGGTAAAGAAAAAAGATTACCTTGGTTTGTAAAAATTAATAGCCTTATCAATTTCTGCAGAATTTGCTCTAGAGGCACAGCTCATACATGCATTGCCTTTACTATGATTAACTTTGGTGGTACTTTTCTCCGGTGCTGCCATGCACTGTTCTGGAAAGCCTGTCATCGTTTGTCTTCCGTTGTCTGTGTCACCTGAGTCCTTGTGCTTGACTTCCTCTACATGGTTTAAAGATGGATTTGCACCAGTAATTCTTTGGATATTTGAAGTGAAACATGCTGCCCAGGTGATGCTTTTGTTGCCCAAGTGACATTGAGAAGCAGGAATTCACTTCAGCATATCGGTTTCCCTCAACATGTCAAGAAACAGCAAAGCCAAATCCCAGATGTGGTCCGTTAATCCCACTGTCACAAAATAAACTATGTGGTCCCAGTAAACACAACCACTCATTAGCGCTAAGGAGAGGTGATAGAAACCATTTGTTAAAGGTGACACTGTTTTCTAAGTGATAACACTCTTTTGATCACGTGATTCATTTTGTTTGCTCAACAACATGGTATGTGTTTATCCCGAGAGGAAGGACTTCAATATATATTTACTTAGAGCTTTTAATTTATACTTCCTTTCTTTTAATTGGTGTCTTGTTATCTAAAATTAGCTGGTGAACATAGTATCTCACTCAAACTCTCTCAGCTGAGTTTTCAATAATCAGACCCACTGTTACCTGAAATTGAACAAACATCTGGAGACTTGGCTTTTTATTTCTTCCCTGGTGCTTTCCATCCATACCTAGAGAGCAATTTTTGTTTTTTTTTTTTAAGACAGAGTCTCGCTCTTTTGCCCAGGTTGGAGTGCAGTGGCGCAATCTTGGCTCACTGCAACATCCACCTCCCAGGTTCAAGTGATTCTCCTGCCTCAGCCTCCCAAGTAACTGGGATTACAGGCACCCACCAACACACCTGGTTAATTTTTCTATTTTTAGTAGACATGGGATTCCACCATGTTGGCCAGGCTGGTTTTGAACTCCTGACCTCAAGTGATCTGCCTGCCTTGGCCTCCCAAAGTGCTGGGATTATAGGCATGAGCCACCATGCCCTGCCTTGAAAGTGATCCTTTTATTTCACATATAGTCATATTAATTATTATCCCCCAAGCTGAAGTTAGGTTAATAATTTCATGTAAAAAATGAAGTTCAAATAGTCTTGACTGTAACCTTACTGAATAAAGAGTCCACACGAAAAGGAATTCTGTCGTGAAACCTGAGACTGTCAGAGCACTGCGTGTCACCAATAAGCTGGATATCATTTACACAAGGAATAAAAGGTCACGTGTCCCCTAAAATCCCACAGTTGCTACAGACATTCTTCCCTCTATTCCTTTGTTTGTGCAGTAACTAGATACAGGTACAATGAGAGTGAATTAGTTTTCCCAGATGAGTGAGAAAAGTAAATGTTCCCCAAATGCCCAAAGCCAGATTTTATCTGTCATTCTCTCTCTCTCTCTCTTTCTCTCTCTCTCTCTCTCTCTCTCTCAGAGAGAGGCAGCACTCTCTTTGGAAGAACTGTAAGGATTGAAAATGATCCAGAAAAACTGCAGGGATTGAAAATGATCCAGATTTTTAGAATTTGCCCTCACCTTGACAACACTAAAATTACAAGCAGCAGTCAACTTTTATAAGATACCCTTATTGTGTAACATTTATAGGCTGCCAAAAACATGCTAAAACTAATCAGATAACAAAGGTGAGGAGAAAACCTTCACCTGTCAGGTAGCTAGCAGTGAATACACTTTTTATTTCCATGACATTTTCTGGCAGAAAGGGGTTGGCTTAAGGCGGATCGGACTAACCTTCAATTTGTCATAGCGCTCACTCAAAGCTGCCACCTGATGATCGCGGTGCCGCCCAACCAGTTTACACAAGGCACAGATTAACTGGTCATCGGTCACGCAGTACATATTCACCTTCTCATCCTCATGCTCCAAGCACATCAGCCCCCGGATGTGTGAGTCTGGAATTGGCTCAATCAGACGATGGCCTGTAAAGGGCTTCTTATTCGGGTGAGTGGCTTTCAGGCACTCATCACAGTAGGATACTTCGCAAGTGACACAGGTCTTCACAGCGTCCTGGGCAGGATCCTGGTCACAAAACTGGCAGAGGACCTTCTCGGCGGAGGTCATGGTGTTGGCGTCAAAGGCCCGCTCCCGACGGGTCTCACTGGGAGAGTTGGGCCCGCTCACTGATGCTTTCTGGAACCTGTCGATGATGTTCTGTAGGGTGACGTTGCGCTTGAGCCCGTCTAGACCTCGCTGGCTGAGGGTGATGACATGCCGGCAGGTGGGGCACTGGAAGGCGGTGATGGACTCCACGGACTCGTTGGTGGCACAGTGTGATACTAGGATGCGGTGGGCACAGTTGAAGCAGAGGCTGTGTGCGCAGGGCAGTAGAAGAGGGTCCTCAAAGAGCTCCAGACAAATAGGGCAGGTCAGTTCTGACTCCAGTGTTTCCATCTTCAGGCAAAGCTCTCTTGTGTCATCAGCAAAACCCAAGGAAGCTGATCAGCTATCTGGAAACAAGAATGTAAGATCTGATTAGGCACAGGGAGGTCAACCATGGGGGGGGTGTCAGCTTTGAATGCATCTCAGAATAATTCCAAACACAGGTCATGAAAGGGTAAGTGTGTGTACATTCCAAATAATTCTCTTTCTATTCACTGGGGAAAATAGGAGGAAAAAGCATCCTGAGCCATCATATACCAGTTAATATTTTCTCGAAGTTCAGTAACTGAAAGTTTACAATTTTGTTTTTGCAATTTTGTTTTTTAAAAGGCCTTATTCAAAACTGGAAAGTAATTGAAACTGTAATTTCCATAATTTGTATTTAATCAGAATAATCTTATTGTGTCAGAGTCAGGTTTAACCTTGCACAGAAAATTAAAATGTAGAAATATTCATCAGTAGAGTCTTTTATAAATTTGAATTTATAAACTTACATATTAATGTATATGAGATTTAAGGACTTTTACTCTGCAATACCAAACCAGGTTTCAGAACGGTGGGAAGGCAGTAACTATAGAAATGGACATGAAATGTATATGAAATCAAATGCAGGGATTTCAGCAGAGATGATCGTGTTTAAGTGTGGGATGTCATTTTCCAAAATATATTCCTGAGAAAAAACATTGACTTTCACAAAGATGATTGTGATACAGGCAATATTTCTGGCATGTGTTCATTATGCTTCTGAATAATTCTATTGTATAATCCGGCAGTGGGACGTGGGTAGGCAGAACGAAGCAGAGAAAAATATCTGGGGGCTTTTTTGGTGGCTGCAGTAAGTTTGAGTACCAATGACTAATATTTAGAGCAACAATTTAGTTAATTAGAATAAGGATTTCAGTGGTTATCATATTCATTTGATAAGTTATGTTATGACAATGATAACGATTACAGTATGACAATGATAACGATTACAATTTAAGGAGGCTTACAAAACTGCTGAGGGACCCTTTTGGCCAAAAAACTCCCATCACGGGTTTGTCACTGTTGCCAGCAAAAGGTCAGGCTGGCGGGAGGTCTAGCCTCACACTTAGAGCTGTGTTGGCCTGGGTACGACCTCTGCCAGCTTTGTTGCTCCCCTCCAGGCCACCCGAGGGTGGCCCAGCTGTCTGCTCCCCTCGCCATAAAGACCTGAGTGCTTTTGTGAACTCTCGTCTGCCTTCCCATCAAAAAGGGTAGTGGAAGGAATTCCACACAAACCCCAGTTCATTAAGGGTGAAGAGGCCTCATGCTCATTAGCAGGCCTGGGAACCAAGCCGCTTTGAACCTTCTCCCTTTCAAGACCATTAGCAGAGGTCTGCAGACCAGTGATGGGAATATTAGATGCAGCCCACTGCAGGCTGTGGGAGAACAGTGCAGTTCACCCAGTGGTCGGGAGGTTCAAATCACCCACAGGGGTGGTGGGGAGAGCATTCTCAGCCGGATTTATGGGAAGGCTTCACATCCAAAGCTATGTTTAGTGATTCTGACAATCAATCGTTTGTATTCATACCTCTGCTTATTTACAAAATTTACAGTTTCTAGAATACCCTGACCCCTTCTGAAATAGCATCCCTCAGAAATACCATATGGTGCTTTGGTGAAATTAATGCTCATCTTGCTACCAACTGAATGGTAACTGATCATTAAAAGTATAAAGTATGTCCTGAGCCTGTTAAAAATTAAATAGCTACTGGCTTCATAAAAGTCTGGTATCTTAAAAAATCTTCAGCCATTCACTAGTATTTACTACATAGGAAAGAATAAAAGAGCAACTGTGACTTGAAATATTAAAGCTTGTACATCTTTCTATAACTTGCAATGGAAACCCTAGGGTTGCTGTTGTAAGAAACATATCATCCCCACTTGGTCTCAGTTACCTGTTCCTATAGACGGCTCAGAAGAAATGGAAAGTTTTTTACCTATTAATAATTATTTTGGTTAATCATAGAAAAAAATGTAGAATTATCTTTAAATCAAAGTTCTTCCACCTTCTCATCAAAAGCATATAAATTAAAGGAAAAATATTGCCCTTTTGGTCTGCTTTGTTCTTGGATAAAACAAGAATGCCTACCAATGAATCTCAATAGAAGGATGAGCATCAAATTATGTCTGGAGAGCTATGATGACTGTATTTTTAATGCAGGTGCCAGGATTCCATCCCAAAGAGGTGTGATGAGAATTTCTAGAAAGGATTCCGCTGGAGAGACCTCAGTGGAAATACTGACATTTTATTCATTCTTTCAACAGATGTTTACTGTGTGCCAGGCACTAAGTTAGCTGAAGAAGCCGGAATCTGGGGTTCACATCACCTCATCTCTATTATCACGGGCCAAGCCAGCATCATCTCTTATGTAGACTATCATAAGACCTTTCTAAACGATCTCTTGGCTTCTGTTCACTCCTGCCCTTCCCCCTATAGTCTATCCTCCACTCAGAAGCCAGAGAGCCTGTTGTTAAAACATGACAGAACATGCCTCTCCTCTTGCTCTGCCCTGTAAGGGCTTCCCATTTCACCCAGAGAGAAATTCACCAGAATAAACTAGACCCAGAAAACAAAGACTCAGACAGTGAGCTCACTTCCTCCCATGCTACCCACTCCTCTCTCTGCTCTGGGCACATGGCCTCGTTCTGACTCCTCAAACATGCCAAGCACATCAATCCCCTGCTCGCCCCTGCAAGGTCTTCAGAATCCACATGACTCTCTGCTCCAGTGTCACTTTCTCTCTGAACCCATATAAAACCAATTCCCCTTCTACCACTATACCACCTACCCATCGTGGCAATTCTTCCCCCATCTCGGTTTATTTTTCTTTATAATATTTATTACTGACATATTCTTTTAGTTTGCTTATTGCTCCTTCTGTCCCCACTGTCCTCAACACTAGAATATAAGCTCTGTGAAAGCAGAGATTTTGCTTTGTTGTTGGAAGAATGTACCACCAACACCTAGAACAGCACCCAGCACACAAAAGGACTCAAACATTCATTGATTCCATTAAATGTACTGACTTTCCAGCTAAAACCAAAAAGAATCAAACATAGCCCTTGACTTTAAGGATCTCTCAATATATTAGAACAGAGATCAGCAAACTTTTTCTATTAAGGGTAAAACAGTAGACATTTTTGGCTTTGTGGGCCAAAAGGGCCCTGTTGCAACTACTCGATCTACCACTGTAGTGCAAAAGCAATCAGACACAATACATAAAGGAATGAGTATGGCTGTGTTCCAACATAACCATATTTGGAAAAACAGGTCACAGGCCAGCATTGGCCTGCAGATCTTATTTTGTTGAGCCATGTATTAAAAGACAGAGGCATATACAGATAACCAGAATATAAATGAAAATCATTCTCAGAGAGGTATGAATAAAATGCTGTGTGGGCAACAGCGGCAAGGATGGTGGAGCAAGACTTGGACAAGCACGAGTTTCCAGTGCTAACGGGAAATGATATGCAACAGGCTTTCAATCTGACATCAATGGAAATTATGTGACTCGAGTGCTTAGGGGAAACTCATGTAAGAATGATTTAATAGTAGCTGCTCAAAACTAGATCTTTTATTGCCATAGCACCTGGCATAGTGCTTTATGCAAGTATCTACACTGTAAATGGTTAATTGTATTAGGTGAAGACAAAATACTCAGATGTGGTAAGTGAAGTTCAGCCAATTTTCTAAATCTTTTGCCTGTATGCTACCAAAAAGGAAGGGGTTTTGGTTTGATATCTATAGCGCATCCCACTTCTTCCACTTTTACCAAGGTTTTACAATGGTATAGATATCATTTTTGTTACATGACTCAACAGTATCTTATTTGTACTCATTCCGTTCCTTCTTCTAAAAGAAACTTAGTATGGTTTATTTTCTAGCTTTCTTTAAAATATCTTTTTGGAGAAATTAAAATGCCATTCATTCCTTTTTTTTTTCTTTTTTTTTTTTTGCCATTCATTCTTTCATCAAATATTTAAGTTCATCTATGTACTTGGTCCTGAGACAAGTACTGGTAACACCTGGCCCCTGTCTCCATGATCTTATGGTTCATTCTGAGAGAGAAAATATGAACAAGTCCAGGTGTGGTGGCTCATGCCTGTAATCCCAGCACTTTGGGAGGCTGAAGTGGGATGATCGCTTGATCCCAGGAGTTTGAGACCAGCCTGGGCAACACAGTGAGACCCTATCTCTACCAAAAAATAAAAATAAAAAAATTAGCCAAGAGTGGTGGCACATGCCTGTGGTCCCAGCCACTTGGGAGGCCGAGGCTTGAGCCTGGAAGGCTGAGGCTGCAATGAACCATGATCATTCCAATGCACTACAGCCTGGGCAACAGAGCGAGCCCATCTCAAGAAAAAAAAAAATGAACAAGCTGTAATGTAACATAAAAAAGATGCATGCCAAAGACAGACAGGGAATAATCAACGCTATGTAGGGGAAGAGGAGACAGGGAGAAGCTTCCTGAAGGAGGTAAAATATGAAGTGGGTTTTAAAAGATGAACAGGGATTCACCAAGCAGATAGTGGTACGTGGGTGGGAATTTTATGCAAAATGTTATCTTTCTTTTGACTATACACACACACACACACACACACACACACACACACACAAATATATAGCTTTGTGTATAGGCCAGGCACGGTGGCTCACACTTGTAATCCCAGCACTTTAGGAGGCCAAGGTGGGTGAATTGCTTGAGGTCAGGAGTTCGAGACCAGCCTGGCCAACATGGTGAAACCCCCATCTCTACTAAAAACACAAAAAATTAGCTGGGTGTGGTGGTGTGCACCTGTGATTCGATCTACTTGGGAGGCTGAGGCAGGGGAATCACTTGAACCCAGGAGGTAGAGGTTGCAGTGAGCTGAAATCGTGCCACTGCACTCCAGCCTGGGCAACAGAGCAAGACTCCATCCCAAAACAAAACAAACAAACAAACAAAAAACAACAAAAAAAACCCCAATATCATAAAAGAGCAGCTTTTGCCTTTTCTTAACTGTCATCATGTAATTTCCACGCCTCAAAAAAAAAAAAAAAAAA